AAATTTACTCAGTTACTTTTGATTTGATTGATCAGAAAGGAGAGTGCTTGCTCGAAAACTTCACCATTCCAACCGCGAGATTTCATCTCAAACCACGAATCGAAGCCTGCATGATCGCGACAGAAATGTTCCAGAGCTACCTGGCTTTCAATGATTTTTCCTTCTCCCATCCGTTCTAAAATGGTTGGATTAAAAGCCACGAGAACGCATAGGATTTGCAAATGTGCAAACTGGACAACTGTTTCTTTCCATTTTAATGCTTCTCTCAATGAAGAAGGATGTTCCGGAATCCAAAAAACAAGGGCCCCGTGAAAACATTTGAAAGTGAATTCCGCGAATCCCTCGGGATCGGGATCATCTTCATCCAAGACAGATAACGCATTCTGATCGTTCTGTGTTGATTTAATTTTTTTCAAATGGATATCCACACATACAGGCGGTAGAGAAGAGCCTTTTGGAGGTGTGCGGATAAAACTGTCTTTGATAAACACACTGTCTTTTCCAGCAATAGTCCCCACGCACAGAATTGTAATACAGTCGCTTCGCTCGTCCTGTTCCGAAATGTTTGCTTTGAATGTTTGCATCTCTGTGTCCTTTCTCAGAGTCCTCAAAACATTTTCGTTTACGTCTTCTGGAATTTCATACTTAGAATCAATTAAAGAAAAAGCTTCCTGAAGGCTGGATGGGTATAAGGTCGGTAAGTATTCCATTTTCTTGAATCTCAATCATGAAAAGAAGATTTCATTTCCGGGTGGTGAACAGATTTCTTATCAAGCACCGGGCTTTTCGCCCGAGAAACTTTTCGATGTCGTCCAGGAGTTTCGATGTCGGTGAGTTTCGAAGAGACTTCACCAAGTCTTGCTGCTAATTTGAAACTGTCAATTCTGTTTTGGACAAGCGAACAATTAAGACCTTCTCAGTTCTACAACTGACTTGCTTTCAATCAGACCCAGTGGACGCGTGGACGCGCGAGAAGCGTGACATTCCATTGAAACATGTTGAAACCTGCTGTTAAATCATCATCAACTCAACTGAGTATTTATTTGGCTATGGCTTATGACCTTGTTTGGATGTGGTTACTTTATTACGAAATCTTTAATTTTATGACATTATTGTCCCAATTCCCCAAGAGTTGTCGAATTTTAAGAATGGGATAATGTCCAAGAACTTTACCAAAAAATAAAAAAATAACAACGATATCCGGTTGATTCATGTGTCCTGATTTCATGAAAAAGCAAGAAAGCCTGAGGTGAGGATTCTTTTCCGTTCTTGTCGTCTTTCACTAAATGCAGGCCTTTCAGAATACCTTTTGCTACAGGTTTGATTAAAGTAGCATGATATTTACATTTGTCCATCTAGACCTTCTGCTTCCTCCCCTTCCGCATGCCCGCCAAGCAAGTCAAGAACGTAAGACAGACAAAAAGACAGGAGAAAACAAAGGCAAAACAAAATTTAATATTAAAATCCTCTGAGCTTTTAGTTTTCTAGAGCCTTTTTGAGGGGCATATGTTCGGAAAGGCCAAGGGGGCCTCGAAAGGCTCATTTTAGAAATTCTTTGTTTTTTTTTCTGTTTTGTGTGGGCGATTACTTCAATCTCTGTCGCCAACGACTTTGTCTTTGATCAGGAGTTTGATAGGATGATAGCACCTATTTAACAATCGCCTATCCCCCCTCCACAGCACCGCCATTGGCCCCGCCCCGGTTAGACAACCGTACCGACGACTGTGCGACGTTAATGTGCGACCGTGCCGAAAAGACAGACAGTAGGTTCCATTCTCCCTACTCGGTTTTGATGGTCGCCTGTTAGTTTTTGTCACGAAACTGTTTTGATCCTGTTAGAAAGGGCGGTCTGCGTCGTTGGACGGCCTTTTTGTCCTACTAAAGGACCTTGGGTAAGCAAAGCAGTGGTTTATTTTAGCAAACAATGTATCATCAAAGGTAATAGATGAGATTCATAGGCTTTTATGCACGCTCAAGTCCAATTATTATTAGTTTGGTGGTACATGTATTCTCGTAATGTATCAGCTCAAAATGGGCTCTATGCACGTGGCGATGCATCACTGCCTAAAGATTTTATCTGAAGCTAACATATAGTTTGCGTTGTTTGAGTTATTTTACTGTTAACATGAAACATTTTCGTATATTTTACAATGCCAACAACATCTTTTTCGCACATTTTTACCACCGCAAATTCGTTACGATTGGAGTCAACGAGTATTTTTTGCGTAAATGACGTCATGTACATTTCGTTATGACGTCATCTATCTCCATCAATTTTCAATATTTGGAGATGTTGGGTAGGGAGGGGGCTCGGGGGGGAGGGGGAGTTGACAGCCCTGGGAAGGGTTTGACCACACATATTTTGGGGCAGGATTTGGGAAAATGGAAAATATCTTGACAGGAAACAGTATATTTCAGTTGACTGGTACTCATGAAGCATCATTATTCATCAAAATTTGGTCACAGGATGCTGGGTTCTTTTGCCTTTCTGTCAGGAATTCGGAAGATTGTCATGACTTAAATATACCTTTTAGCAGCAATGCAGGGTTTTCATAAAACAGGAGTGGGAATGTGGGATCACAACCCCTGCTACTAGACTCTGGTAGACTTGTAGAATATGGCAGAAAATTTACACATTTTTGAAGAGGAAATCTCTGAATTACTGCCTAAAAAGAACAGCAAGAATACTTCTCGCCGGACGACACCTGCTATTTGTACAATATCTGCTAGAACATCCCTTTATATAATCCTGAATTTGCAGAGTAAGAGGCAAATGAAGACAGAAAATTTCAGCTTCTTGTTAAATTAGGAATTATTTTGAATGAATGAAACAAAAAGTGTTTTATTCACACACAACAGTTTGATTTTAATGTGACCTAAAGAGTTATGCAGATCATTGAGGGTACAGTCGAACCTCGATTATCTGAACCTCGATTATCCAGATTTCTCGATTATCCGGACTTTTTCTCTGGTCCCGACTTGGTCATGAATATTATTTTATTAGTCACGATCAAGATCCGTAGCCATATCCTTTTTAAAACTACAGCATTGAAAAGTGCAGTCAAATGCAAGGGTTTTTTGCTTTCAAAGAGCACAAGCAGCACTCGCGCGCGTCGTAACTAATGAAGAACATTCGAATGAGTTCTGATTGGCTCAGAGTTGCATTGTTGCTAAGTGAAATTTCACGCTCTATGGCTCGCTTGGCGTGGTATGCAAAACACTGACTCTTCCCCAGTCGTCTCTCATTATTAGTATTTGGTGTGGAAGACTAGAACGGGCTCTTTAACAAAGAGCATAACCCAAGCACTTACCTGGTAAATAATTAATGAGTAAAGAGAACTTAGAGATGACTGGGGACCAGTCAGTGCAAAACAAACAAGCTAGCATCACAAACGTTTATTCATGATCATCATGTCTTTGAAGCACAAGCAATCCGTTCTTTTGATAAAAGATAAACAAAATCTATAATTGTGCGATTAGAGAAAGGAGAAAAGGGAACCAATTTGTCAGCTGAATATAACGTTAGTAGAGTGAAGATGAAGACGACATTGTATATTCCAAATGATTTGTAAAAGTGTTGTTTCACGATTAAATGTCGTTTTCTTAATTTAATCAGTTTTGCTGGGTTTTGCTTTTCATTAATATAATTTATATTTTTGATTATCCATACCCTCGATTATCCGGACTACTGTATTTCGTCTGGTCCCAATGAGTCCAGACTTAAATCGAGGTTCGACTGTATTATGTTATATCATCTTCCTTGATAAGAATTATTATTAATAATTCGTAATAGATCATACACAGCCTCATCCAATAATATTATATTGCAGTGTTCTCACCAGGATTTTGCCTTGGGGAGTCCCAGGGCCCCCTCCTCTGAGAAATAGGGGCCCTGTAAGAACATTAGGGGGACAAAGTTACAAAAAACACGAGGTACGAAGAACCTGAGCCCGCACTCCAAATTGTCTGTTACATGAAGTACCTACCTGATCCAATATGGCGGAAGAGGTGTTTACGATTCGGAGGAGGAGTTTACGATGTAGTCACAGGAAAAAATAACCGATTCCCATTTTTGGATATTTTAGGGTATTTAAAGAATACCCATAAAAATCCCAAATTTGGCAAAGTGAGACAAGTCCCAACCAGGGAATTCCCAACCAAGTTCCCTGATTGGGACTTGTCTCACTCTTCCAAATTTGGGATTTTTGTAGGTATTATTTAAATACCCTAAAATGTCCAAAAATGGGAATCGGTTAATTATTTTTTCCTGTGAGTGGGACGTGAGTGGGACCAATGAAAGTTTCGGCAACAAAGTTAAAGACTTTGACTCATTTGATATCATGTTTTTTATTTATTCAAACAAACAGAATGCTTTAGTGTTAGGTTGACCATTAAAACTACTTAAGTCCGTTTGACTCGTAGCTTGCCCCTGCTCCCTAACGGGCGCATCTTCTTGGTTTTAATGCGCCATTTCAGTTTTTCTTGTGGGAATCCCGCAAGGCTGCGGCCTGGTGAGAACACTGATATTGCTAATTATTAAGAAGCAATCATTAGTAATCTTTGCTATTATTAGAGGAAATGTTCAAACATGACAGTCATACCCAACTTTTTAATACAGGATCATAGAAGGTTATGGCAGCTTGATATGTTCCACCTGGAGCCAGATCTAAAGAAATACAGGGCTGTAATTCAGTAAATCAGGCAGAAGACCGCCAGAGGTCACTAGCTGAATTAGTAGCCAAAGATGAAAAGACAGATATTTTTACTGTCAAACTGAGATCAGACAACTCATATGGTAAGGACTGTAAAGATTACAAGTGAAAAGCCCCTCTAAGGCACATAATTTGTGTTTCTGTGTTAGTGTAAGACTGGGAAAATTATAAAAATGTTGTATAGTTTCTAACAAAATTAAATTGACTGTCCCAAAAGTTGTCATTATCATTTCTCTTCATGCCAGGAGTAAAAAAACTGTAAAACTCTTAACAGTGCGAATGCCTGCTTTTCGCTTATTTTACTACTCTCCCTAAAACAGGATACAAGTTTACAAGAGTTCTCAGTGACATTTAATCACTTAGTTTAAGTTACAAAGACCCATTAGGACGTACACTTGGATGACTTGTCTAAGAAAATTTAATAACGACACTCTCATTTTTCAGATAATATTGAATCCTTTAAAATGGTATCTGATACAGAAAACAGTGATCACCCAAAAACCCAACAGTTTAAATTCCCATTTGGATATAAAGAGCTTCGAGAACTTATGCTGGTAAGTTGATTACTACAAAAGTTGACCATTTTCAGAAAACAAGTTCTGCATGGACGTACATCATATACATTGTAAAAATTAATATCTAAAACTTTCCGTTCAACAATTCAAAATACCCTCTACACAATCTTGTAAAGCCAATCATCAGGAATGTCACAAAAAAGTGTAACTTTTAAAAAAGAACTACTTCTGTTGACCTGTGCATCTTTCCAGGAATGAATCCTGAGTTTTATTATTTAGATTTAGGGTAGCATACTTGGCTGTTTTCAAACAGCATTATTGTGAAGTAATATTAATTAATTGTTTTTTAATTGGATTGATTGGATTATCTGATAGTTTCAATGAAAACCAAACCAGGTGGCAGGGAAGGCATGAGGAAACCTTCCCACCCTCTCCCGCCAGGGCTTTCATTTTTGGGTACCCTGTTCTAAAGTTCATGTGTCAATCAAGAACTTTATTTCTGCAAAACAATGCCAGAGGAAGGGTCCTTAAATTGCTTGACTTGCTTTTTTGCAGTGGTTTCGTGAGATAGGCTGGAAAGACCAAGATGCAGTACTTCAGTTTTCCGCAAGTCTCACAAAAGAACAAAGAAAACTTGTCCATGAAACTGCGCAAAGTTTTGGCCTGGGAACCTCAAGTTCTGGGTTTAAAGAAACGGTTGGTTATTTTGCATATTTGTACAGTCAACTCCCTCTAAGACAGACACCTTTGGGACCGGCAGTATAAGCGTCCATCTTAGAGAGATGTCCATCTTATAGAGAGTCAAATAAAGGGAGTGAAGAAAGGTAGGGACCAACGCTAGGTGTCTGTTGTAGGGAGGTGTCCTTCTTATAGACTGAGGTGTCTGTTAAGAGGGAGTCGAAGGTATACTTTGCTTAGGGGCTGTTTACATGGAGGGAGAAACATCCTGGCACCAAGAAGATCTTAGAAGGCTGATCATCCGTCAGTTATTGATACTTTTTTATGTTCAGTGCACGTGCAAAAGGTTGTACTTTTCCCTAGTACTAGGATCTTCCTACCTCTCAGCTTAAGGAAGATCCTAGGACCATCAGGCATGGATCTAGGATAAAAACTGATGGATTTCCTAAACGAGCGCTGAAGGCGCAAGCTTCTAGCGGGGTGCAGGGGCGGGCTCCCCCAGGAAATTGTTTGGATTAATTTTTTACTCCTTAAAGTCCCCTTTCCTGGGTTTCCGAGTCATTCAGACAGAATATTGGCCATGCAGATTTCAACTTGGAAAGTGTTTTTATTATTAACAACATATTTATTATGAAAAAAGTGACCAATTTCCATAAAATGATGGAAACCGGTGTGGATCCGCACCTGACCTTATAAACTGCTGGTGCTTGGAAGATCCTAGTACCAGGGGCAAACAGTGGCTAATCATGGCAATAATGGCCAACCATTTCATTTCCACGAGCTGATACTTGTGATAACTCTGCTAGTTATCAAAGGCCAGTAAACAGAAGGGCACAAATATTTCCATTTTTCTTTTTGTTGTCCATCACTTTTAATTCCTTCTCAATCCTTCTCTACTTGAAGGGCACCACACAGACCAAAATTTCTGCATATTTAAACCCAACAAGAAGTTGCTCCATCTTTTAGGATCCTCCTGGAACTAGGATCTTCCTCCCAATAAATTGATTGCTTTTTTCTAGCGTTACATCAGTGTTTATTCAGTGGAGCAAGCCACCCTTGGTGTTGGAAAAGTGTACCTCACAAAAGAAGAACAGGAGAAAGCCAATACAATATGGAGACTGGTTAAACATGAAGAAGATGAGAGATACAAGAAGTTCAGTCACAACGAAATAGATGAGATGGTTCTTGCAAATAAACTGGATCCACTGATTCAGGAATTATGGGAAAAGAAAAAATCACTGTCAGTAGAAGAGCACTTCAAAGAAAAATGTAAAGTTGCTGATGAAAAATAAAGACATGATTTTTGACAGTTAAATGTTAAGGGAAATAGATCAAAGCAAATTTGTCTTGTGAAATAAACTTGAAATCAATGAAATCTTTATTACAGTACGATTAATGTAACTGGGGCCACTTAGACAAAGTTGTTTGGTGGCCAATCAGCAGTTCATAAAAGTTGCTTGAAGCACAAAGCAAACATTTTTCAGGAAAGCAAAATGTTCCATTCTTTATCTATTTGAAACTTTGCATACAATTAACACCCAGGAGACATATTTCGAGAAAGGCATCTGTTCCCGCAGGCTATTTCGGAATTTGACTCAGTCATTTTTTCAAGCAGCTAGATATTGTACAGTAGACTCCCGATAATTCGAACCTTCAAGGGAAATAGAAAAAAAGTTCCAGTTATCAGGAGTTTGAGTTATTGAGGGTAAAACTATATAGGAAACGATCTAAAGGGAAGTGAAAATTGCTTCGAGTTAGCAGGAGGTTCAAGTTATAGAGGGTTTGAGTTACCAGGAGTCGACTGCATAAAAACTCATGACTAACTTATCTCTGGGATGTTGTGTGTACATCAGTTTAAGTCAGTGTGAGTTAATTCATGTTTTGAAAGCTGTCACCATTGCGACTAGTGAACACTTAAACTTATTGACAATTTTTGTGGTTATAGTCACTTTTTGGATGCTATTAATGGTGTCCTCTGAATGGAGGTTAATTACCCAGGTTTTTTGACTCAGAAAAAGTGTCCCTTTCTCCTGAATAGAGGTGTCTTTAATAGAGGTAACAAATAAAACGTTGTTGCAGGCCTGGGCCAAATTTTGCGTCCCCTGATGAATGGAGCTGTCCCTTGAACAGAGGTATCAAAAAGGAGAGGTTCTACTGTAGAAGAAATGTATGGAAGATCTCCTGTGACCTTTCATTCATTGCCTCTAATTTATTTTATGCATGAAAAAATTTACACCAAAATAATACGAGACAGTGGGAATCCATCTTAACAAAGAGTCACATAATGTTACAGTAAAGTTTTATTTCATTTAGTACAATTACAAAGACAATAGTGACATTATTGCCAGTGACTATGTTTTAAAAATTCTGTTGGTGAGAATGTAATGATTTTTACTTATTACTGGGCTGCCTGTGCGTCCAGTCATAAAATGGGCTTTCGGTCGTCTGCGGCGAAAAACGGCCTCCCGGGGGAGGGAAGACACGAGGGTCTGGTACCAAGAAACGATGTTCTCACAAATGGTTTCATATGATTTTCTCTTGCACGATCCCTTGCACGGATACTTTTTGTACCTCGTCTGCGCTATGTTGAAAGAAGACCTTCGTCATGGCAGAAAATCGCTCCATTTCCGAAATTTCGCTCAGCTGAAGAACTATAGAGAAGTGACTTCTATGGTCTCCTCGCCGCAACCAGTTCACTCTTTTTAAGTAAAAATCTATGGAGTTGAACGGGTGGATTCTAGCTGTAGGTTTAATTCCCAGATAGTCTTTGATAAAAACGCCCTTTGCTCGAACCCCACCTGCAAACTCACCGACGCAGATGATCTTCAATGGGTCCAGCTCAGTGCTCTCTTCCAAGCCCTCTAACGAACGGACGTTCCTCTTGAATGTTTTCATTTCCAAGAACGTGACTTTTTCCTTCATAACCTTTCCGTCTGCCACATCATTTGCATCCGTCAGGTCCATTTCAACCGTGTGCAAAACTTCACTTCCATCCTGCGGATCTGTGGATTCTGCGACCTCCATTTCCTGCGTGCGTAACACTTGTTTGATCGAGTCTAGGACTTCCATTTCAAATCTTCCACGGCAATTCTGATCGATGTAATGTTCTTTTTTTTTTTTGGGATGACTTTGTTGATCTGGTTGCTTTTTGTGAGCTATCCACTGATTCTTTCACGCGAAGTTGATGGTTGTTTCATAACAACTGAAGGTTTTGCTGTAACACTGTTTACTTCAGTGTGTGTATATTTTTATACGTCATTGCAATGGAACGTGCTTTCAGTCAAGTTGATGGGCAAGTACTTGACCCCAAGGTCAAGTGAAGTCTTCATTTCCTTTTTTGCCTGTTTTTTCCATTTATTAGGATGCATTTTTATCAAATTTTTCCAGTTTTGTTTATATTTCACAACAACAGTTTTCTCTGTCTAAAATTCTTTATTAGTAATTTAGGTTAATTTTTTAATAACGTTGCAAAGATATGATGACCCTTGAGCAAGTGATGGTGAATGCAAGCTACAACATATAATATAAAAGTAAACAGCTTTTGTGTTACGGATTATTGATCAAGAATAGAAAATGAACTGTTCGTATTCTAATCACTACGCAGTAATCGTTCCAAATTATACCTGCGTGCGTGATGTAATGATTCTGAAAATATCTATAGTCACCTTGTGCTCTAAGTTTATTTAACCTGCAAAATGCAGCCATTTCTTCTAGCTGCTCGCTGCTAGGGTGGCTAAAGTTTACTTGTGTAGCCAGCACTCAGGGGCACCCAACGAGGATATAGTTCAAAACCACTTAACATAGCATTGTTGAACGTATTTTAGTATTCAAACGGTAAATATAGGCATATTTTTATCTCCTGAAAACTTTTCATCTGTTCGGATTTCCTAGCTGAAAGTCTAGTGATCCGAAAATTATAGGGATAAAAACTTACCTTCTCGAAAATTTCAGCCAGGAAAAGGCTCCCGAAAATTCTAGGTGGCCTTTTTTAGGGTCAAAATCAGTTAAAAATGGGCAATTATACCATTTTGTCGATGTTCGAAAATCCTAGGAGAGGCTGGCAAGCAAGAAATTTTACAACAAATGCTCCGAAAACTCTAGGTCTCAAATCGTCTTCCGAACAGATATTTTCCCGAAAATTGCCGTTGGGTGCCCCTGAGCACTTTTGCGTTGCTTCATTGACGAGTGAAAAGAGACAATCTGGGTGCAGGTAGCCTGAATTAATTTAGCCATTTCACACCTCTTCTGGTATCTTAACCCCTAGATGAAGTTACATGACATAAACTCGTCTTGGCTACATACATACTACAAAAATTACAATGAGATGCCGAAACCAGGGGTACACAGGTGTTGAGGCGACGAAAAAAATGATGCGAATATAAATACAAATTGACCTAAATAAAGGTAATTTAAGGATACAAATGCCCCAAAAGGAATCAGTGATCTCTGCATCAGTTTGGCAGAATTTGTGCTTACACTACCCTCGAGAGTTCCCTCTGTCCATTCTTTCCTCAGTAAATTTCATCGCGGGCTCAGTCAATCCGGGAACAATTGTCAAAACGCTGGTCCACTTCCGCCTTTCCCCTAAGTAGCTGAGAGGTTTTCGCTGCACCGTGATTAGTTTTCAAGGTTGGTCGTAATTTCTTTTCTTGGTAAACTATTAATAAGCATTTATACTTTAATTCACAGCTAATGCCACACTTTCCCGAAAACTGAAAGCGAGAACAAATTAACCCTGGAGACGCATTTGTTTTATAGTTAATTTCAGACGCTCTTTAGGGATGAAAATGAAGTAAGCTCGTATTTAGTTTGACAGCTGATTTGGTAATCATTTATGGTGAATATTCCCTCCCTATCCCCTACAATCAGAGACAAACCGTAATACATGTACAGGCAAGGAATGTTTCAGTTTGGATTAATGGCTCAGTCAAAAGGACAAAATTTGCATGATGACGTCATTTTACTACAACTACCAGAATCCTTGAGTTTGTTGTTTTCTTGCGCAAATTAAGGCTGTTATTCTTTAATCCTCAATGGGATTGACAAATTTAAATAACAAAGCAAAACCGAAATGAATTCTGGTAGTTGTAGTCAAATATCATCATCATGCACTTGTCCTATCCCAAGCGTGCCCATGTACAGCCCCCACCACCCGGGCATTTGTCATCTTGTCGGTCCTAGCCTGCGTAGCTGGCGGTATTGTCTCAAAGTTTTGCCGCCATCGTGACCAGTTTGCACTTGGAGGAAAAATCAATGTATCGTTTGAAGAGTTAAAACGAAAAGACACTTTCTTTTTGCATGAATGGTTGAAGCAGAAAGGTCTATTAAAACCTTGCGAGATATTTGAAAGCTAACATAAACTTCGTGTGTTGTACAATCCATACGGCAAGTAATTTGCTAATGAAACAGTTGCATCATGATGAGAAAATACTCATGTTGCTCATCGGTTGTTTGTTTATCATTCACTATATTAAACGTCTTCAAAAATAAGAAAGGTATCATTGGGTTATTCCAGAAAAAATCCACACCCTCACAACGGAAGGCATGCTGGAAAATCTCACGGGAGGGGGGGTTAGCAGCTCTGGAAATCCAGATGAGAGGAGGGCTCTGAACCTAAAAATACATCCTCGGGGGTTAATTATTTTCGATTTTATTGATGTTTCAATCGCTTCAATCTACAAGTTTTCAAAAAATTACTGAAATTTATTATTAAAAAATTAATGGCATTTTCAAATTTTATTCTTCTTTCAAACTATAGGCTCGCCTTTTGTTACTTTTGTAGGGAGAAGTGACGTGTGACTGACTTGAAGATATCAAGAAAAATCGCATAATTCACAAAAAAGGCTCAATTCAAGTAAAACAAACAATGATTTTTACCTTGAATTAAGAAGAAAGATCAATGCTATTTCAGGGTGATTTAACACTGAACACACCTTACAAGTAAGCGTGGTTGTTCATGATTGTTCAGCCGCTATTTTGAAAGGCGTGTGGGTAGCAGTATATTGCGTCATGTAAAATCCAACTAAGTGTCCTTTTCCCTTCTCTCGCAGTCATTTTTTAACGACAAAGAGAGGTAAACCTGAAAAAGAGGAGAACCTTTTGAGTTAACATATTTAGTTTCGGGCTTCATAATTTGTAGGGTTCAAGTTCACTCAAATGTGGACTGAGCTTATTTGCAAAACGTGTAAGTCTGTTTAAGAAGATGTGATCATGAAAATGTAATCAGCTTAACTTTCGCAGCAAACACAGAATTCACAGAAAATTGAGGCTTATTTAATAAACAAATCATCCAAGTGCCTTATTCAAGAATCCTTCTACATTGAGTCAGTAAATTAAAATTATGGTGTCTAACAATTTTATGGAAATCCGGAGGGGGGGGAGTCTTTGAATGTGGAAATCCTTGGGGAGGGGGGGCTAAAGCAGTTTCGGAAATTCAGGTGGAAGGAGGGGTCAAAAAACCGTGCCTTCTGTTGGGGGGAGGGGGTGTGGACTTTTTCTGGAATATTATCCATTAAAATTCTAGTGCACAGTTCTGTCATTTGTACTAATCAGATGGATGTGATCTTTTTTACAGTAATTATAACTAGAGGCTTGGGGCAATTTGTGTAGGGCACTTCATGCATTTTGATCATTTCATAATTAAATATGGTGTTTGCAGCTTATTGGGCGATTCCAGAAAATATCCATACCATACCACGGACGGCTTTAAGGATTTCCGAAGGGGAGGGGGGATTCACGATTATGGAATTCTGAAGGCATGGGGGGTATTTACGATTTGAAATCCGAAGGTATGGGGGAATTCCACAGGTGGGATTTCTGGAGTAGAAAGTGTAGAGTAAGTTCCTGGAAAACGCTATTGTTGTGGACTTTTGTAGTTTGTAAATAAACCACGAACGTATGACCGCGGAAGCAGAAGACAAGCATCGATAGATCAGACACGTGTTTACGCTCATAACTTATAGAAGTGAACAGTAAAACGTTGGTTTCACATTTACCTTGATGAATTTCTTGTCACGTGAATAAAAACTGAAAATGTATATTTTAATACCGCTTGCAAATTTCTTGTTACTCCCGTCCGAAACCGTCCGATAAACAGTAAAAAACTCGCACCAGTCCCTCACTTCCAAGGAACGCCTGTCAGATTAGAACGCTTTTCGTGCGCACTACATGACTTATAAAAGGACGCAACACGACTCGACGGTATATTTGACCGCCAAAAGATTTTAACAGTCTGTTTGAGCTATTTTCCTTTGTAAACGTCAAAACAGCACAAGAAAACAAAGAGGAGTAAAATTACCTTAAGTGGTGTTTATTTTTATAGCCAAATTCGGACTTAAAAAGGAGTTTGCACGGCCTGGCAACTAGCGTAGGTTTTTCTTGTCACTGAAGAGTAAAGCTTGTCACCTGGCGCCGCTAGATCACAGCCTTGAGGAGGCATAAATTCATGTTCGTTTGTTCTTATAGGCGTTGCTAAGTCGAAAATGTACTTCCAAAAAAAACCGGAAATTCTGAAGGGGAGGGGGGGTTCACGACTATGGAATTCTGAGGGCATGGGGGGGTAGCGCATTTTGGAATTTCCGAAGGCAAGCGGGGGTTAAAACATGGAAGCCGTCCGTGGTTGGGTATGGATATTTTCTGGAATTGCCCATTTACTGGAAAATGCAGTTTGCGTGTTCATTGTCCTTTGGTGGTGCATTTGCACCCTATTTTTAAGCCCCAGGGCATTTGTATGAATGCTCAGCCCCTCCATGGGGCATTTACAGCTTTCCCAAAACAAAATGACAAATGCCCGACAAATGTGCAGGGGGATGGGCACGCTTGGATTTGACTGAGCCATAAATTTATACTGTTAACTTGTGCAAACTGTTTTGTGCGTGAAGGCGAAGAATCACGGGAATTGGAGTTGAACCGGTTTTACGCGCCTGGGAAAGTGGGATTTTTATTTCTTTATTTTATTTATTTTTTTGTGGGATTTGCTCACTGAGATTAGAACCAAAGTGCAAAAAGGGAATTGAATAGCTGGGACAATGAAATAACTGTGTTTGATCATCTCCAAAGCATAAACTAATTCTCTTTGTTAATAAAATGTCAGAAAATCACCACATTGGAGGATATGTTTTTTTAATCTAATTAAAGAGAAATCTCTCAGCTCCACCAAAGTCAGCATTCAGGGCTTATGTCTGATATCTCTACTTCTTGGGTACAAACTGAACTTAAACATGGATTACTGTTATATTATTATGGCTCAGTCAATTCCAAGCATGCCCATCCCCCCAGGGCATTTGTCTGTCATTTGTCATCTCGTCGGTCCCGGCAGTGTGGATTTGTCAGGAAACCTCTACCCAGGGGTTTGGCATTTGTCAATTTGTCTAGAAAAGGGTAATGTCATTCTTTTTTCAATAGTTTCACTTAAAAATATGAGTCAAAAATAGAATATTCAGATTAAGCTTTAGATATTTCTATAAATAATTAAAAATTTTAATATTTTTAATACTTGTGCTGTAAAAAGATACTAATTGTGGTTTTCACTCCCATCATTTCCCTACTGCACAGTATGTTTTGCATCTGTCCCGCCATCGTGATCAGTTTGCATATGGATGAAAAACAATGAATGTAATTGTTTGAAGAGTTTAAAGAAAAATACTCTTTCTTTGTGCGTGAATGAGGCAGAAAGGTTTGGAGAAAGTCTGTGAGATATATGAAAGTTTACAGAAACTTTGTGCATTGTATGATCAATACAGCAATTGAAATGCTGACCAAATGGTTCCATCGTGATGAGAAAATACTAATCTTTAAATTAAGCTCATCAGTTGTTTGTTTATCACTCACTATAGTAAATATCTTCGAAAATAATTAAAATCACATCAGTGTGATCTTTTTTGCAATAATTATAATGAGCGGCTATACAAGTGATTTGCGTAAGGTGCTTCACGCACAAGTCTGATCAGATTATAATATATTAATTATTACAGATTTTCCATAAATTTGGTATTTGCAGCCAATATTTACTGGAAAATGAAATTTTGGTGTTGTCCCAGGGTGGGACATTTGCACCCTATTTTTAAACCCCACCCTGGGGCATTTGCAGCTTTTCCGAAACACAATGACAAATACCTGATAAATGCCTGGGGGTGGGGGGAGGGAGATGGGCAAGCTTGTAATTGACTGAGCCGTTACTTAAAATCAGCTTGCAGAGAAACATTTTCATAAATAAGATAAATTATTATTTTTGGTTCATCAGTGTTGAAGAAGTTGTCAAATGCTGAGGATTTTACATGGGATAGGAATTTCCCCCTCAGACCTTTTTTAATATAATGAAAATTATTTGTGGATCTGTAGCCCAAATTTTAAAACCTTTTATGGCATTTTCCATTTTAGAATACCTGACTGTTTATGCAACTGTTTGGTACAAGACCTGTTGATTACATGTGCATGTTAAAGCTGAAAATGTGATGATGGATATCTCTCCCAGCTCTCCCCTTTTCCCTTCTATCCCACAGGCTATCTCACCTAAGGAGCAGACTTTTCAAATCCTAGCTAGTAATAAATAAATCTTCAAGAACTAGTTTTTCTTATATCGAGACTTTTCTTAATGTTTTTATAAGTGTAATCCAATTCAGTGACGTGACTTTTGGAGGTCAGCTCCAGTCTCCTTCTAAATTTTTTAAGTATTTATATGGCTGTATGCATCTGCAGGTTTTGAGGTCAACTTTTTCAAAATTTTCAGTTCTTTGAGCTTGAGAATTAAGGATTGAAGGATGCGCACATATTTTTGTATATATAAAAAAAATAGGTGATAAGTACTGATAAATGTGCCCCTACACTGCTCTAAATTAGGTGTTTTTATTTCTAATATGATCAGAGAAAAGTGTTTTATAGCTCATTTCAAACATTTCCAAACATTACCGGCATTCTACTGCCAAGCCTGCACACAGACCCTCTACAATTTTCTCTGTAGAGACCGCTTAGCACATATTTGGTAATGAATACTGCAAGGGATTTATTCACTACTGCAAGTGCAATAATGGGTGGGCCGGGTATTCTGACGTTCTGCGCTGCAGCTCTTGGCAGTAGCGTGGCTTTTAATTGCTGTTCCACTGCCATGCTGAAGACTAAATTTATTTGTATCATTTGTGTTTGGCATGGTAGTAACATAATTATTTTAGAAACAATTAGCCATAAATAAATTATTTAAAGTATTTTAATTTGATATGAATTTTCTGCAAATTTAAATAAGGATGTTAATGCCTGAAGATTTATGCCTTTTTGTCATTCACTAATTTCAGACTGACAATGGCCAGTGCTATACCAGAAGAAGTTACTGAACGCTTGACTTGTGCTGTTTGCATGGAACAGTTTAAGGAACCAAAGGTTCTGCCATGTTTGCACACTTACTGTAAAGCATGCCTGGAAAAGCTGGTGAAGAAACAAGGATCTGATCACATTATAACTTGTCCTGAGTGCAGGCAGGATTCGAAAGTGAGTTAACTGCTGCAGGAAGTATTGCACAAACCTGTTTGGAACCTGCTGGGTAATTTGCAGCTAAGCAGATACTAAAACCCCATTTACACGCGCTAAAAAATCGGCACAGCACGCCAAACTTTTGGCACCGTGCGGACTATTTTAAGGCACAGCACTCCCAATTTTCGATGTGTAAACGTATCGGTCCCAAATGTAATGTGGCACCAGTGCTCAAAATTTTAGACTACCTCTGGAAGGTAGTCTTGGCATGGGTAAACTAGGCACAGTGCCAAAAATTTGACGTGCCGTACTGATTTTTTAGCACGTGTAAACAGGGTTTAAAATGAATAGGCTTTTTTGGTCAATTTTTTTATTTCAGCTGGTTGTGTCCCATTCTCTCTAGCTTGGAAAGATTGGGACTACACTCAGTAATGATGATGACGATGATGATAATGATAATCAAATTAACCCCAGATCAGGCCCAATTTTAGCAGTTCTGATACATTCTCTCTTACATAGTCGCCTTGCCTGCAAGGATGATGTTGACAAGGAGAAACGAAAATAGAGCCTGATCTCAGGTTATATTTATTGATGTAAATCAGAAGCATACTTATAATCCACCAGAAGCATATAACTCTATTCCAATGCTGGGGTTTTATAAGGAACCAATCAAAATTTACTTCCTAATAATTATGGAATTATCTTGCATATCTGAGTTGCAAATAAAAAGCTTACGTGTGACATACAAGACCTTCGTGCTTGGAGCTGTGAAGGGTATAATGATGAGGCTTGTATTGTGCAGTCAAATTCGACAAAAGCTAAAACTTTATTATATTTCAAAAAAACCGCTCAGTTTTAGTTATTCCTTCTTCAGGGAGATAGTAAGGAAACTATGTTCTTTACCGGCCAAAACGGTTTTGCAATCCAAAAGGAGAAGGACAACCACTTACTCCACGTCAAGATAGTAAGCAAATAGTTGTTGCAAGAAAAGAGCTAGTTGTACTGCTACAGCTTGTGCTGAAGACAATAAAGTGCCATATCCTTTCCCGATAACCAGAAAAGCAGACTGGGCTATTCCAAAAAAATCCACACCCCCATGACAGAAGGCAAGCTGGGAAATCTCACGGAAGGTGGGGGTTAACGGCTGTGAAAATCCAGATGGGAGGGGGGGCTCTGAACCTAAAAATACATCCTCAGGGGTTACTTTCGATTTCATTCACATTTCAACAGCTTGCTGCTTCAGTGGGTAAGTTTTCAAAAAAATGCTTTGCATTTTCAAATTCTATTATTCTTTCAAACTACAGACCTCTTACCACATTTATTTTAAGTTTCCATCCATGGGCTCACCTTCGTGGGCTTCATTACCATGCGATAACCCAGTCTGCAGGATATGGCAGAACTTGACGAGATCTTGTGCATGCAGATTTAACCACGTGCACCACGTGCAATATGATTTGTTGTACCAGAACAGTGGCGGATCCAGGGGAGGGGCCCAGTACCCCCCTTATTTTTAGACTAAACTGAGGCTCAAAGGGCCAAAAAACTTTTTTTTTGGAGACCAGCCTTTCCCCCACCCCAACCCCCCCTCCCCCCATTATATCAAGGTCTGGATCCAGCACCGCAGAATACAGGTGTATGCCAATAGAGAGGCTAAGTATTAGAAGGATGTGAGTTTTAGGTGCATTTCCAGTTGTTTTAGATGGCCTAATTTCAAATTTTCTCGGGGGAGCATGCCCCCGGACCTCCCTAGTGTGTTAATATTTCACCGTTCAGTTCTCCCAAAAGAAGGGCTACGAACAAGATTACGGACAATTGCCAGTCCATTGATTTGTGTACAACCTCACGCACCATACTGATGAGAAAGCAAAAGTTTAAGCAAGGGATGTGGAAATGATGTGGGAAAACTGAGAGGTTAGGATAGATTTGGCAAAAATATCATGGCTACGCCCCTGTACCGGGTCAGGTGCAAATCTCTTAGGCGCAACGCTGTGGCCTGCAATGCCACTTTTGGTGTGCGCAATAATCTTTTTTAAAAAAGGCTCGTGTGCACTTGCCATACTCTGCATACTGGGTCAGTGGTATAGCACATCATGTGATATCCCACCAAGTGTCCATTTTCTTAGTTTCGTAGTCATTTTTTCTTGACAAAGATCAGAACTTTTTATTCAAATACATAGTTATAGTTTTGAGCTGTAATGTTGTATACATTGCCGTATATTTTGCCTGGTCTAGAAAAAAAGAGAAGTTCACTCAAATGTGGGCTTATTTGCAAAATGTGAAGCCTCTAAGAAGATATGAAAATATAATTAACTTTCACAACAAACACAGAATTCGTGCAGAATTGAGATTTTTATTACTAAACAGATCAACTAAATGCCTTAAAGAATCCTCTACATTGAGTGTAAATTAAAATTGCTGTATCTAACAGTTTTAAGGAAATCCATATGGGTGGGGGGGTGTCTTTGAACTTGGAAATCCTTTATTTTCAAGTCACAATCTTTCCCTAACTCGTTCTGACGATATAGATCCTGATGTTAATTTCTGCACAGACGACGTCCACTGTGATTACTACATTGAAGACAAATTTAACGAAATGTTGAGAAATGATAATTTATGTGATGAAGATTTTTCGCTCCTACACCTAAATATTCGTAGTCTTCAACGTAATCTAAACAGCCTTTCTATTCTTTTGACATGCTTGAATATTAAGTTCTCTTTAATTGGCGTTTCTGAGACTTGGCTAAATGATTATTCCCATTCAGTAGACATAGATGGTTTCAATTTTATTCACAAACATCGCCCAAATAGAACTGGTGGTGGTGTTGGCTTATATATTTCTGACAATCTCGATTTAGCAAGATTTGAGCATCTCCTAATTTAGCAAGGGGTATACAGTCGTCAGCTTCACACCGTTGTTTTCTTAATGGTTCCTTTACACAGTCAATATTCTTCAACCCTACAACTCAAGATGAGATCACTGAGATTGCGAAAACTTTTCTTCCAGGCAAAGCAGCTGGCTACGACCAGATTCCAATGACAGTCATTAAGGAGTCCATTCTACTTGTTTCTGAACCACTCACCCATATCATAAACTTGTCAATCCAGCATGGTATTGTTCCCGATGAAATGAAAATCGCTCGCGTGATACCTATTTTTAAATCTGATGATCAGTCGCTTTTCACCAACTACCGACCTATCTCGGTGCTTCCCAGTTTTTCAAAATTCTTTGAAAGAGTTATCTACAATCGTTTAATGCAATATCTGATGAACTTCAACATCCTCTGTAGTAACCAATACGGCTTCAGGAAAAATCATTCCACTGCACTCGCGCTAATCGACTTGCATGATAAGATCTCTACTGCCTTTGACCGAGGTGAATTTTCCGTAGGTATTTTTCTTGACCTCTCAAAAGCCTTTGACACTGTAAATCATATCATCCTTTTTGATAAACTCGAACATTACGGTATTCGTGGCTTAGCGCTGGACTGGATAAGAAGTTACTTTTCAAACAGAAAGCAATATGTTGAATATAATGGCCACCGTTCGTTAAGAAATGAAATCTCTTGTGGGGTCCCTCAGGGTTCTATCCTCGGACCTCTATTTTTCTTACTGTACATTAACGACATCAACAATGCTTCTAATCTATTAAATCTGATATTGTTCGCTGACGATACCAATGTATTCATGTCACATAAAGATCTGAACTATCTCTCAGATATGTTAAACTTGGAGATGGACAAACTGTCAATCTGGTTTAAAGCAAACAAGCTTTTTTTTTTTTTTTTCTTCTTTTTCTTTTCCTATATTTTTTGTAATTAGTGTGGCAAATAAAATAAAATAAATAAATAAAAAAAAAATCCTGAAGGGAGGGGAGGGGTGCTCAAGCAGTTTTGGAAATCCAGGTGGAAGGGAGGGGGGTCCAAAAATATGCCTTCCATCCGGGGGGGGGTGGTGTGGATTTTTTCTGGACCCATTCAACATTTTTCTCTTTCACTTACGTTACAAAAGAAATGGTAAACAGCTCAATGTGTCATATTGGGTAACGGAGGCACTTCATAGGTTTGCTACATATAATATTAGCAGTCATGAAGCAATCACTTAAGCACAATTGCCTTCAATCGTCTTATTCCATATTTGGGTGAAGAAAATCCATGCCTCTGACTGGACGGCTAAAAGACCTCAGCATAGTTCTAAACAGATCGGTGGAAGTTAGGCGCTTTGGGATTATATGCCTGTGTGTGCAGTGATAGCAATAAAACAAAAGACCTTCAATTGGGTACATCTGGCTTTGTTTGACTAAAATAAAATTTTGCGGGGAAATAGGGCCAGTAAACAACCATATCTATATCTATATATATATATTATTATATATATATATATATATATTATAATGATTATTATTTGGAAGTTCCATTAAAGGTTTTGCTGAGTACTGTTCTAACCCAGTGTGTTTTAATTCATATTAGGTTCCTGATGGAGATGCAAGCAAGCTGCAACCCAATTTCTGGGTGAACAACTTCATGACCTTATTAAGCATGCAAAATAGTGCATCATCCACAGGGAGCCCAATGAACTGTGAACACTGTGACAGTGGCGACTCCGCAGTTTCACGGTGCTCTGACTGCAGTGTTTTCATGTGTGAGTTTTGTGTTACAGCGCATAAGAGAATCAATGCCACCAAGAGTCATCAGATTTTATCTCTGATAGAAGTGAAGAAACTTGGTTCAAAGGCCCTTGTCAAGCCATCGTTTTGTTCCAAACATAAAGGTGAGACACTGAAATTATTCTGTAGCACCTGCCAGAAAACAATCTGTCGTGATTGTACCATTGTTGATCACCGTGAACACAAGTACGATTTTGTGACAGATGTTGCCGAAAAAGAAAAAGAAATCATTCACGGTTTTCTTGCCAAAGCCAAAGTCAAAGAGCATGCAGTTGTTGATGGTATTAAAGCAGTCCAGACGATGAAAAACGGTGTCCAGAAAAGAGTCTCTGAAGTAAACAAAGAAGTTGATGCCTTTTATGATGAGCAGGTGAAAGCACTGAATTACTACCGTGCAAATATTAAGCATGAAGTTTCCACCGAGGGTCAAATAAGAGTCAGCAAGCTAGAGAACCAAGCAGATGTGCTTTCCTCTTTTCTGGCTCAGTTGAGAAGTGGCATCACCTTTACTGATCAGGCCTTACAAGATGGAGATGATGTCAAGCTTTTGGCCATGAAAAAGCAACTAGTCCAGCAGCTCGACCAGCTGAATTCATCAAAGACCTCTTGCAAACCCTGCGAGGATGACTATCTAGAGCTACAAGTGCACCAAACCATTTGGGACATGGGGAAAATAGTAAGTGTATGTTGTGTTCCTTTTGATCCCCAGAAATGCACTGTAAGCGTGTTGGGGGGAGAGGAAGGCGTGATGTACCAAACCTTGGCTGGACAAGAAGTTGATTTGTTGCTACTTGTCAAAGACGGAAAAGGTCAGAAGAAAACTAAAGGAGGCCACCAAGTGGAAGCCATATTATCCTTCTCTATTGAGCCAGATCTCACAGGTGCAAATTCTCCAGTTCCCATACGTGATAATGGTGATGGGTCTTACAGTTTCCTATATCATCCTGTGGAACGAGGACAAGTGACTCTGTCAGTCAAAGTTGAAGGGAAAGAGGTTTATGGAAGTCCCTTAAAATGGAATGTTACTTCAGAGTTTCCAGGTGGATTAGCTTCACCGCAAGTAAAGAGTGTCAAACGCAAAGGGGTGAAAAGGATGACAAAAAAAGGCCCAGGACCCCTGTTTTCTACTTTCAAGGAAGGCATGCACTGCTGGAAACTGAAGGTAACATCTTTTAGTGACGAGAGCAAATGTGATCTAGAAATAGGGATCGCTTCTAGTCCACGTTATTATAGCGAAGGACAAACAAAATGGGCCTGGCAGTACAGCTCACGCTTGGAACCAAAACTCAGTCGATCAGATGGTGAAATTCCCTCAATCACTTCTGTTGAAAATAATGATGTGTTCATTGTATTCCTTAATCTGGAGTCAAAGAAACTTACAATCTACAATGTTCGAAGCAAACAAACTGAAATCTTTGCAGGGATTGAAGGGGATGATTTCTCTCCTATTATTAGGCGTGACATGTGGGAGTTTAGGTATGAAGACGAGTGGTATCCAAGGCTTGCTCTTCAGTAGGTTCTTTCTGATATCCCGTTCTACGGGGGTAGTTGTGAGTGACCGTGCGTGATCTACATGTTTGTGTTCAAATGGCTCAGGGGCCCGTTTCTCGAAAGTCCCGACAATTAACGGGCCCGGTAAGCTGTCTCCGTTTACATTAAAGATCGAGGTATCAATAGTTTTGCATCTAGCATGATAAAACTATCAGTTAGTGAAACAAAATGGAGTAGTCTCCTAGCCAGGACCAGCGCTCTTATTCTTTAAATTTCTAGAATTGAAAATTGAAAATTTGATTTCGGGTCCGAAAAGTTACCGGGACTTTCGAGAAATGGGCCCCAGGTCACCAAATATCGCCCAGGTGCTTTCGGCTCTCGCTGACATTGACGGGTTTCTGCTTTGCTTGGTTTTTTTTAAAGTTTTGTCAGTAACATTGTCATGATTTTCAACGAGCAATTATGTAAGTTTCGTTGTTCGACAACAAAAAATTGAAAAAAAAAAAAAAAGCTGTTTCGGTGTTTAATTAGACACCGGCTTAGAGTCCATCTTCACGGGCTTATACTAACATCTAAGCATGGAAGTAAGGAGGGCGGATTTGCGGAATTTCTTTTTTTAAGTTGTCGAAAACTATTTTTTCTCGTGTTTTTCTTCATTATGTTTTAACTGTGAAAGGTACAAATTTTGAGAAGGTTTGGAAAATGTAAGAAACAGATTCTAAAATATTTGACGACTTTAGATCTCTTTTTTTTTTGCGAAATTCCGGAATTGAATGATTCCCGTGAATGGTCATACTAGATAATTCCATTCACATTAGAAAAGAAGAACTGCTTCGCAGATTCTCAGTGATCTCAGGCCATTGTCCGTGAATCAATAGTGCACACACTTGTGTAGCCGGTTTACATGACACCGGGACAGTCACAAACTTATTTCACTGAATTTTTGAAAGAAAAGGCTCCGAATTTTCTTAGCTTTAGGACAATTGTCGCGGTCACCTAAAGCAGTAACTTGGCACAGACTGCTAAATGAATTTATGAAATTGAGGTGGTTCCGCTACTTTAAAAAGAGTGTAAGTGAAGATTTTTCTTAACAGATCTAGTTAATCGTTTTGTTGTCATTTTAGTATCACAATATATAAAAGTAGGGATCTTACGATCCGACAACGGCGACGTCCAAGAAAACATCGCTGAAAAATACAATAGACTTCGCATCGAGATTATCCCAAGTCGCCTAGTTTTTTAAAAGAAGGGAATTAGGTTGGAGCTGCAGAGAAGGGACCGGGCCCGAGTTCAGACAGAGATGATAGAATTTATCGCCTTTCCGTTCCCGTTCTCAAGTAAACTTAAAATTTACTCGTTTTTCGTCGTAGTTGTGCAGGGACGGCAAAGAAATTTACAACAAAGCGTGAAGCACGTGCAGACTTCTAGTTTTGGTCGTTCTGTTGATCAAACCTATTGATTTTTTGACTTTCTCGTTGCCGTTGCCGTTGCCGTCGCCGTCGTCGATGCTTAACTAAAGCTCCCTTATGTGAATAAAAAAACGGTCAGAAAACGGTCAGATGATCAATTTTTTTTATTCTAGTTGCCTCAGGTACGGGGTCGAGTAAAAATGGTGTATTTTTATTAAAAGCTCACAATTGCACTTTTTGATTTAGTAGGTAGCGTTGCAGACATTTTAACTAGATTTGATGTATTATTATCTAATCTCGTAGAACAGTATACTAGATTTAGCTTTGTACGTACTGAGTTTCTGAGATCGACATAAAAAGCTGTCTACACGTTTAACCACGTTTACTCCCAAATACTTCGAGTGTTTAGTTAACCAAGGTTTAAAACTGTTTTCTGTCAACCACTAATTAAGCACGAAGAAAAACAGAAGAAATTTAAAGCACATCAGAGTAAAAGCAAGTCAGTTATAATTTAGTTTACAGATAATTTAGAGTTGTACTTTTTAGAGTAACGATTGGGCGATGAACGATTTTGTAAACATTTATTACAATCGATGAAAAAATTCTTCGTGATTTTTTTACCTCTTTACTGTCTTGTTTAGCTGCGTAATTACGAGACTCAGAGACTCAAATGAATTTTGGAAAAAAAAATTCTCGTTGCACCATAAGCAAGCATTTGAAGAAAAGAGATTGGTTTACCGGTTGGCCTGTGCCAGGCTTGCAGATATTATCAGAGTAGGGACGTAAACTGAAAACAAACAGCGAAAATAAGACGTGCACGATCGCGTTTTTCGCGTCACTTTTCACTGCCGGTAGACTTAGGTAAGACTTTTGAGTCTTTTAAGTCTTAGGAATTAAAATTTCTGCAGGTTTTTCGGTGTCATAGTCAAGATAAATGAAGCTTAAATATGCTCACGTCAGAGAGAACCAGCCTGGCCTGAGCATGTCAAGTTGTACAACCTGAGAGAAATTAATGAAAAGTGTCGTAGAGCAAGCATTCTGCAGGGGCGGATCCAGGATTTTTCTTAGGAGGGGGTGCACCTCTAACTGATTGAAGACGTAAAAAATTTTAAAAGCGAATACGAAGAAGAGGGCTTTTGACTAGGAAATAACATAATGTGAACTGCTGAGAATACATATCAAACGATAGAGCAGATTTTGTATGTCTGTCAAGCGACTGCACAGAGTTAATTAGAAAGTGGCCGCAAGTCATCCCAGGGGGCGGAGAGGGTGCGCACCCCCTGCACCCTCCCCCTGGGTCCGCCCCTGTTCTGTGAATTCATTTTATACTTGCCATGGGGGACAGTAAAATACATTTCTTCAACAAATCAAAATAATCATATTTTGAACTCTTTTGTTCGCTGAACCCAGTGATGTACGACGCACCAGCTTATCATGAAGTCTGCCTATTTTGATTCTTCAAATCAAAAAAGGCGAGCGTTTGCTCTAAAACCGCGAGATTTCATCTCAAACCACGAAACCAAGCCATGATCACGACAGAAATGTTCCATAGCTACCTCTCTTTCAATCATCTTTCCTTCTGCCGAACATTCTAAACTGGCTGGATTAATTAAAAGCCACGAAACGCACGGGATTTGCAAATGTGTAAACTGGACAACTGTCTCTGTCTCCCTCTGTCCTCTTTGTGCTTCTCTCAAAGAAGAAGGTCGTCTGGGAATCCAAAACACAAGGGCTACATGAAACGATTTGAAAGTGAATCCTGCGTATCCCTCGGGATCGGGATCATCTTAATCCAAGACGGATAACGCATTCCCCTCGTTTTGGGAAGATTTATTTTTTTTCTAATGGATATCCACGCATAGAGGTGGTAGGGAGAGCCTTGCGGAGGTGTGCGGATAAAACTGTCTTTGAAATACACAGTGTCTTTTCCAGCAATAGTCCCCAAGCACAGAATAGCCCACGTTCGATATACTAAAATTCTGACATGACTCCGAGGCTTTCTGGTCATTTTTCTATATTTGGTTTGGTTTTCTTTGTGCTCAAGTCTCTTCTGAGAATAACGAGACGATGGAGTAGTGAAAAATTTGCGATTTTGACCCCAAAGCCTCGGAGTCATATTAGAATTTTAACATATCGAACTTGGGCTATTGTAATACAATCGCTTCGTTCGTGCGGTTCCGAAATGTTTGTTTTGAATGTTTGCATCTCTACGTCTTTTCCCAGAGTCCTCGAAACATTTTCGTCCACGTCCTCTGCAATCTCATACTTAGATTCAATTAAAGAAGAAGCTTCCCGAAGGCTGAATGAATGTAAGGTCTGTAAGTATTCCTTAGACGACCCAGTAGACATGTCGAAACCAGCCGTAAAATCATGTTGAGGTTTCTCAACTGAGTATATATTTAGCTATGGCTTATGACTTCCTTTGAATTTGGTTACTTCATAGCGAAATCTTAAATTTCTCACAATGAAATGGGTCATTTTCCAAGCGTTGTGAATTTATAAAAAAATAACAACGATATACGGCTGATTCTTGTGTCCTGTTCCATGACATTTTGAAGTTTCTTTGCCGTTATTGTCGTCTTTTTCAGTGCAGGCATTTCAACCATATAACTTTTGCTACAAGTTTGATTAAAGTAGCTTAATATTTACATTTGTTCTTCTAGACCTTCTGCTGCCTCCACTTCCGTATGCCTGCCAAGCAATGCAAGTCAAACAAGTTAGACAGCCAAAAAGTAATGAAAAACAAAAGCAAAACAAAATTAAATACCGTAAGCCTCCGATCTTTTACTTTTCAAGGGCCTTTTTGCGGGGAGTATATTCGGAAAGGCTCGTTTTCGAAATTCTTCGTCTAGTTTTCTATTTTGTGGTTCTTGAGAGCGCGAGGGATTTCCTCAATCTTTGTCGCCAACGACATTGTATAGCGCTAGCCTATCCAACTTGTAAACAACCCAGTGGCCTCCACCCTGTTAGAACCGTAAACTGAACCCGATTGGCGCCGGGACCAATGGAATTCGAAGGGGACAGACGGCAAATTGTTGCTGTTCGAAATATCCATTTAGTATATATATGTCGTAACTGTTCTAAAGCCAATAGGATGCCTACAATGTGTGCAATTCCACAGTTGGTTTCGGCTTAATCAAATCCTGTACCAATTATGTAACATTTTAGGAGGAGCTATCCACGGAGCACAGTTATAGCACAGGCAGCCCAGAGGTAGTGTGCGTCAATAACATGGACAAACTGGGATGAGTCGTCAAACCTCCCATGAACTAAAATAGTCCAGAAGTCAAAATATAACAAAACAAAGCTAACATACCTTTAATTGAACGTCTTCTTGTCTTTCCCGGCCGGTTAAAGCGGCATTTTGTCGAGTTTTGCACTCGTAGGTACTATCCGACAGAAGAATTAAAGGCTGGCTACAAAAAAAACCGACCATCTCCACGCGAAGCGCTATAAATTTGATAATAATCGACGATTCCGCTCCAAATTGCCATCGGCTAATCTGCAGGTAATATAACGTATGCCCGGCTTCCTGCTCGCTGGCTACACAAAGCCCATCGCAACTGCACGA